TTTTTATACTTTGCACTTTGGAATAGTTCTCCATCTAATTCATATTTAATTTTAATCTAAACGCTTATCTTTAGATTTCTTTACTTTGTGCTTGAACCCTTTTTATTTTATTTTTTCATTTGCTTTTATTTTATAATTTTGTAAAATTAAGCCTAGATTAATAAAGCTTCCGATTTTCATTTGATTTTCCCCTTTTTTAATTTAAAAAAAGTAGCCGTAGATATTCTATTATTTATAATGCTAATGCTAATTGCCAGTTAATTCTATTTGCGAAATGCTAATTAACACTGATTATATTCTGTCCAAGATGACAAAAGGCGAGCAAGACTCACATATCAATGGAAGCTGTACTGTCAGCAGCTCGATTGCCGATCAACTGTACGAGAACACCAGTGATGACAACGACAGTCACAAGCAGGCCAGTGGCGACGAGCAGAAGGTGGTGGGGCACACAGGCACCATCAACGGCAGGGGCAGTGCCGCCACCGCCGCCACCAACACTATCACCAGTACCAGTACCAGTATGAGCAGTACCACCACCAAGTCACAGACAGGCTCGGTTCGGAAGAGGACGAGAGCAGAACGAGCCGCAAAGTGTGCCCTGGTCGCCACGAAGGCACCGCCGCGGCGAGTGGCGAGGACTGGTAAGGCGGTGGTCAGCAGAAGTAAGGCAAAGGCAAATGGTGAACTTGTGGAGCACCGAAGAGCAGCAGCAACGGCAACACTCCCCCAGTCATTTCCCGGGCAAACAGTGCTGCCCCAAGGAGTGGTGCCCGCAGCAGCACCGGTAACCTCAATACGAGTCAAACCAGTGGAAAGTGATTCTTCGCGGACTTCCTCATCTAGCACCACCGAACTTCGGCGTTCTCAGCGCCTCAACTCGACAGGTATGCCAATGCTGAAGTACGTCGCTGTTAACCCCTCTAAATCTCTATTCTTTCACCCCGTATTGTACCAGATAAGAGCACTCTTTCAGTGAACGGCGAAACTCTCCCTCCTGCCTCGAACGGTCTGAAGCTGACGATTCGAGTGGGTCGACTTAATTTAAATTGTGATAACAAATCTCTCATTGATCGAAACAATAATCATGCACTGCCCAGTGGAAGCCACTGTTTTCCAGCAAATCATCCCACCTCCTCTTCCGTTCCTCCACTTCGGAATGGCTATGCCGTTCAGCCAACTCCAGTCGCCCTGATCAATGGGCAGACGAGCCGCAGAAGCAGCAGCAGCAGTAGTAGAAGCAGTAGCAGCAGCAGCAGCACCGGCCTCGGCGACGGCAGCTCATCTCGGAAGCGTCCAAAGATGTTTGAAGGGGAGGCCACTCATCTAGCCTGCTTTTCCAGCGAGGACTCCGCCCCTGAGCCTCGTAGTCCGGACCGTAGACCGGCGGCGGTCTTCTACAAGAAGAACCAAATATGCCCTCCAAAGAATGGCACTCTGCCCGAGCTCACGATGCCCACGGCAACGACCAGTGCCTTTCACACTATAACTCCTGTTCACAAGTACAAAAAGAAGAAGAAGAAGAAGAAACGCTCTAGAGGCGACAGTAAGCTAAGCCTGCTGGAGCAGAGCGGACCCACATTGCCAAAGCGAATTACGTTCAAATACGGCTTCTGCGAGACCGACTCGTTACTAATCGACGTAGAGAAGAGAAACCTGCAGAAGGCAGTGAAAAGACGGAAGAGAGCACCAAAGTGCAACTAAAAGCTCAGGTTCAATCATCCTGCCATCACACCTGTGTTTCACCAGTACAAAACAGTTTTAGCATCACCTGATGATATGTACCATCTCTCACTCTCCTATTGTTACGAATGAAAAGCGCCAGTCTCTGTATATCCTACCGAGTCACTACCAGACCTCGCCTGTATTATCTACTGTAATTATTACCATTATCGATTCCACTGAGAGCAACCGAAGCTGTCATCAGTGGCTAAACAATTCTCGACTGTTCAACCGGCACTGGACAATACTTACCACTTTGTTAGCAATAAAAATCAAAATGAAAGTACATGTACAAGCCTAACCTTGCCGCTCTGAGCTTCCGTGTGTTTCAACACAGTGCAAATGATCTGCTGATCGATTGCAGCAGCAGTACCAGGTTAGAATTGTGCGTTAGTGTTTGTTCTCAACAAGCAGAGGAATAGCGAGTAGTCAGTCAGTGGCGCCATAACGGTGCCATTACCTGCGCCCTGCTATTGCCTACACTGCTCACTGCTTGAGATGGTGAGTGCGTGCGTCTGTGTTTGTGCAGAGTCTGCAGACAGCCGCCAAGAACGGCTGCTCGGTTGCCCAACACTCTGCTCTACTGTCTCTCCAGTGGGCAATGCAAGTGTGGGAAACAGTAGAAAACAGTAGAAAACAGTTCTGGCTCTGGTCGTACGGACAGTGATCATCGCGTGTGCTCTGTCCACACTTTCCCTCCGCGCCGACCTTTGCACCCAGAGCCTGGCCCTCCCTCCTCCACCTGCGGCCGATCGTGCGTCAGAGGGGGCGTACCGGTTTTAGGGTTGCGTANAACAGTGATCATCGCGTGTGCTCTGTCCACACTTTCCCTCCGCGCCGACCTTTGCACCCAGCGCCTGGCCCTCCCTCCTCCACCTGCGGCCGATCGTGCGTCAGAGGGGCGTACCGGTTTTAGGGTTGCGTACAGTACTCTAGCGTAGTACAATGCCACCAGTGCAAAACATGACCGACAACTGTGATCTTCCGCACGGTGACAGCCAGTTCGCTCAAAACCTCACCTGCCTACGCGATTCGGAGAAGACACGACACCACCTCGACGCCGCTGCTCACCAGGACAGCGATGCTCCACCAGCTTCCAATATTGCACTCGAGTCGACGACCATGAACGGCGATGTCCACCTTGATGAACTGGCAGACAGTGTCCAGCAGCCTGACAAGAAGCCGACTGCTGATGAGCCGAGTGGGCCTTGTGATGAAGGCCCAGAAGACGATTCTCCCGTCACAAGTAAGAATTTTGCATTTGTTTACATCTTCAAATTAACTGATAAATCTGCTTTAGATGAAAATAGCAATAACATTCCATCTACTGCCGAGTGCGAGGGAAGCCTTGATGATTTTGCCGACTTTGAAGGATACTCAGATTTAAATCTCAGCAATTCACCTCAAGTAAACAACAGTGAAGACCATACAGTAGACTGTTCGGCTTCTAACTTGGAAAGCAAAAACTTTGCTAACTTCGAGGGCCATTCCCACTGGCCAACCTTAGCTGCAGATACTCAAGCTCAACCACCAGCAGATGACGATGCTTTTGATGATGATGATGACTTTGCCGACTTTGAAAGTGCTTCTAACGAAACTCAACCACATGCTCCATCAGCAACGTCAGCAATCCAATCAACTCAAAACGCAAATGCATCAACTGACTGGGCACAATTGTTTCAAAAAACATTTCCTCAAGATGTGCAGCTACCCGAAGAATCAGCTGATTCTTCAGGCAATGTATCCTCTTTAGCTCTTTCCAGCAGTCAAATATTTAACTATGCCTCACCTGAAAGTCAAGCGCTTTGGGACAGCTTACAGGACATGGACCTTAAATCTATTTGTCTTCTAAATAAGTGGAAGAATTCGCATTCGTTTAAGCGGATTCTCCAAGCACTGAAAGTTGATGGAAATATTGTAAGTGTTTTTCTAATAAGTGTGATAAAAGTGAGTTAATGAACATTTTTTTGTAGATTAAAATGAACACAGACATTTTTCATCCTTATTCTCATATTTCTCATTACGGGCAAATTCTAGAACCAACTTCTATTAACAGTTGGGGACAAAGTTTGTATGAGAATAATGTGAGTACAAACAATTCAGTTGATTTTACAGCCAAGGCAAAAGCAAATGAGACTGCAATCACATCGCCGGATGAAGAATTTCAATCTGTGATCAGTTTGAACCAAGATTTGGACTTTTTCGAATCCAAATACTCGTACAAAAACAGTAGCATTTCATCAAACACTAAACCTTCAAATGATCTTATATCAGAATTCGAAAGTAAGTCTTCACATTATTTTTCCTTTCCAGTTTTGACTCACGTTTTTCATTGTTATAGACATCATTTTAGATAATGGCAAAGCTCAGTTCAATCAAGAGGAATCAAAGCAAGCAGCCCTGTCTGCAACATCGCCCGCATCTTCGGTAAATGACTTGCGAAAGATGCTGCAGAACACCATTGCCAAAACAAACAACGAGCAAGTGCTCAGTGCTGAGGCGTTGCACATTCTAAATGAACTTCCACGGCTGAACTTTGCTCGTGCCAATGTGCTCATGTGGAATGTCAACGAGCATTCTGCACCAAATGGCTAATATCTGAAGAACTCAAGTTATGGCCTTTAATGTGATCTGCATGCAATAAGCCTGCTTCCTGAAGCATCATCATCAACACCACTCTTCCGTACATTCCTTTGTCAACACTAGTCAGGGACTGATAAATGTTGTGTTAAAAAGTGCAATTATTTTTGTATAAATAAAATAAATATTTGTATTTATCATTACAGTCAGCATTTTGGGGACGTACAATATGTAGTATTGTGTGGTGGTGATGTTGCAGATGCAACGTGAAATTGATCTTTTAATAAAAGAACTTTGGACACTCGGTAACGCTGGCTAGTATCTTCCCTGTGAGTTGTACGGCGGAACTTGAGACTGGTAGTTCATCTGCGGCGGAGCAGGCTCTGTCAGAGGCTGCTGTTGCTGCTGCTGACCGCCATACTGACTAGCAACATTGTAATTACTCGCTGGGTTGCCACCGTACTGACCAGTGTTGTAGTNTACGTGAAATTGATCTTTTAAAAGAACTTTGGACACTCGGTAACGCTGGCTAGTATCTTCCCTGTGAGTTGTACGGCGGAACTTGAGACTGGTAGTTCATCTGCGGCGGAGCAGGCTCTGTCAGAGGCTGCTGTTGCTGCTGCTGACCGCCATACTGACTAGCAACATTGTAATTACTCGCTGGGTTGCCACCGTACTGACCAGTGTTGTAGTTGATTTGACTGGGCTGATTACTGGGCAGATTTCCGCCACCGTAAGCACCAGCAGGATAAGCATTTGGAGCTATGGCTGGTGGCTGACTTGGAGCGTATTGCGGCTGCGGATACTGCTGCGCTTGATGCTGACTGACATTGGGCAGCGGTGGCGGAGGTGCTTGATAGCCTGACGCATTTGGCACTGCACGGACTGCATTTGCATTGGGATCAGGCCCGTAAGGGGAGAAGGCTCCCGGGTACTGCTGTTGCTGTGGCTGTCCGTACGATAGCTGAGGATTGTTCGCCGGTTGCTGGTAGCCATAGCCACCTGTCATGCCCATATTGGGCTGCTGCTGCTGCTGCTGGTACATCTGATTAGGCGCCTGAACCGGTGCCTGTGGATAGCGGTATCTCTTGTTCAGTGGAACCGAGCCGGAAGCCTTGTTCAGCTGCTCCACAGAAAACATCGGCGGATCATTCCAAGATTTCTCATGTCGTCGATCTGTTAGAGGCAATAACACGTCAGATAAACTAAACAGTATTACCTAGTACCATTAATTACCATTATCCATGGCAATGCAGCTCTGGAACGACGTTTTGGATCAAGCAAAAGTAGTGACAATATAGCGATTTATTGCGTTTGTTTTCTCTCGTCAACAACACTAAACTGATGTCATCGATGGGTTTCTGGTGGCAAGATTGCTCCTTCTTTTCAAGCCGACTTCTGAAACTTTACTGCTTCATGCTAATTTTTAAAATCTCAAAAACAAGAAAATTGCAAAATGATCACAATTCTTTTATTAAATGGCTATTAAATAAAAATATAAAATTCAATGAAAAAATACAATAAGTTATGACACGATTGGGGCAAATCATTGGCCACTGAATAGTCGACCACGACTCTGAAGAAGGAGAATTGATAATAAATATAAAGAGTACAGTATGTAACTTAAAAAATCCCAACTATTTGCAGAAGCTTTTACAACTAATGAATTTGGTAAAGCTTTCAAAGTTTCAAAGAGCATATTGTCACTGGCAGGAGGTGATTTGATAGGGAGTCATCCATCAATAAAAGAAAGAGTAAGTCAGGCCACTTGTGTTCGGTTTTTCCGTCTTCCGAGCCCTCTAGGCCAAGGTAAGGGCCATTCAAAGTGCCTTTGCACCTGATAAACTTCGTCGTTTTTGGCAGTGTATGTAGTGTTGTTGTACTTGATGTTTTCAAAGTATAAAAACACTGGCCACCACCATAGACGGGTAAAGTAATTTGATGGCGATTTGAGCTAATAAAGATAAAAGTTATAACAATGCGTTAAATTAAAATCGACGTTAAAAACCACAAAAAGTGACTTACAAAGGTTGATGTGCTATTGCACAGCGAGTGATAAATATAAAATGTGCGAGTCACAAAATAGTAGGCAACGATTATATCAATTAAATAGTGACCACGGGCGATTATAATGCAGATCACACTGATCACAGTCATGGAAAACTGCGATAGTTGAAAAACCTTCCAGAGAATTGTTCTTCTTCGTGGCATCAGATACTCTTGAAAAGTTAAATAAACTGTTCAAAGATAAATTGTTAGTTATTAATAGTTAAAAATGTGCATGTCAAGTTTGATGAACTCACCTAAAACTAAAATAACAGTGTGACCAGAAAAGATGTAGTCTCCACAGTAGGCGTGGTGACCGTTGATAGAGAGACCCATTCCAATGCTCATGTAGAAGACACGTGAGGCGATAATTTCAATAAACTCGAAAGAGGAAATATTTGCAGTTTCGGATGAGTTTTTGAGCTGTAAATTGAAGCACGCATTTGAGTATAAGGACTCTTGCTGAAATCTAAATATATAACACTTACCTGTGGTGAGCATTGATAATTTCGGCTAGCCAAAGGTAGTTGAGTTGACGCCATGCTGATGGCTCGAAAAAAGTATATCACACCCATAATTATGCAAATTCGTCTCAAAATTATTGACCTGTAACATAAAATTCATTAAAATCAGAACTCAATAAAAAGATGTCAAATTACCGGTGCTTGTGAAAGAACAGCAAGATGAAGATGCCGACCATTTGAACAACAATAAAGTATTCAGCAACATCGAGAAACCTTCGGTTGTCTGGAAATAGATCAAAGCCAATATCAGGCAGGTGAGGCTCTTTCATAGGCACGCGTTCGTGAATGATAGCCAAAACTGTCAGGTTGAGGGTCATGTTGACAAACACAAAAAGGAGAGCCAAAAAATTGAACAAGTAAACATGTTCTGATTGTGTCCTGATTGAAGTCGGCTTATCGGCAATCAACAGAGAGCGATCATCATCTTCGAATGAGTTTAAGCTTTCATCCACCTCTATGTTCATTGACATGCTCGAGCTGGGCTGTATCACCTCAGGGTCAATCTCAAGGTGGATTGAATTGTTCATCATGGAGTTATCGTTTGACCTATCACTTGTGTAGTGTATTTCATGTGAAGGAGATGCTAGAAGTGGCTCAAACTCGGTTCGTTTAGCCATCTCATCATCACGCCGAATGCTTGGGTGGCCGACGATTAGAGTTGAACAACTTGATGTGTCAATCGATGCGGCTGATACTGATGTCGATGCAGCTGGTTGCAAGGTTCGTAAGCGCGTGGTAGAGGCGGTCGATATTTCGGTACACATATAGCGACGGAGGCTGTTTGAGAAATGCCTCTTCTCGGCAAATTAATGCTCGTTGATGGATGAGTGGTGATGTGTGGATGGTGGTGGAAGTGGTGGTGGTGTTGTTGGTGCAAGCGATGATGATTGTGATGATAAAACTGAGTAGTAAAATAAAACAGAGTACTCGTAGATAGAAATGTATGGTCGCCAGCATCCGTTATCTAATAGGCAGGCAATGGACGAAGGGCAAGCATTTGGCTGAGAAGAACAGCTGCGGTTCTGCTTCTCAAACCAAACACAACGGCTCTAGCAGAATGTACCACTGACGATGGAAGAGATGTTGGTGGCGATGATATTGATAATGTGATAGGGTGAATCATAGTCTTCCAGCGAGGATTGCTCAGTGGGTTATACTGCTATTGCCGTCTCGGCTGCTTCTCCTGAAGAGCAACATCGCGCTCGCGTCAAGCACAGATCACAGATCACAAACTCTGATGCGAAGTAGGATTCCACCAGAGCAAGAGCAGCCAAATACTTCGCCGAAGAGTCTTTGAGAGTGCAATCAGTGAGACTCAGCAGCAGTATGCACAAGTATGCAAGTACACAGGATTGCTCAACAACACGCCGAACTGACATGTGCCCGAAAATGTTTGAGTTCAGTCTCA